TAATCATAATAATAATTTTACGATAGTTTGATTAATGAAATAGTAATAATCAGCATATTAAATAAAATTACGTCCATGCAAAACCTGCTTTTAAATAAAAACATTATCTATTTGATTCTGATTTAAAAAATAATCTTATAAATTATAAGTTTATTTTCTGCGATAATTTTATCCACATATGCATATTCATGTTTTCAATGTTAATATGGTTGATAAATATAGTGTAGTATAAGGTCTGTCTCTTATACACATCTAGATGTGTATAAGAGACAGGATAATGAGTGTCATTATTGACCAAACAACAACATACATACCTAAGAACAATGACTAATAAATTACAAATGTAAACAATAATTACAGTGAAATAGACCACCATAAATTATTGTGTCATCCAGGCTGAAGATGCTATTAAATACATAAGAGTATTAATAGCATCTTATATTATAACCAACGAAAGGAACTGAACCCATCACTGAGTATCTTTGTATAATGCAATATAATATATAATAATTTGGATTTTGAACTGATAAATCAAGAAATGATGGATTCTCTTTTATATAATCTGTACAAATAAAAGTAAAATATTATAAAAGATAGTGGTGATAGGCAGATTACAAAAAATATTATCACACATTGTATACATACCACACTATAGCCTACAAATAAAAGAATTGGCCGACCCCTTTGCATTAGTTGGTTGTTTAATACTAGTGTGGGTAATAACAAACAAAATACAATGTTTTTATAGTAATATAGATGTCTAATCACATTGTAATTATCATAAAAGCCACCATTGATTTTGTTTAATCAGTTATCACGGGCTGCATTACATCATCTTTATACCAATTAATAATTGTATTTTTCTTGGTAGTAGGTTTTAAGGGCTTCCTTGAGAGCATTGTGTTGGAATTTAGTCAATGCACACTTTATCGATTCGAGGTGATTTACATTAGCCTTTTGTTTATCTCTCCATCTCACCAACATTTCTAAACTGGCTTCAACAATTGATGGTCCAAATTGAGACGTAATTTGGGATAATTCAAAATACTCAAAGCCAAGAATGTGGCCAAGCGATTTCCAATCGTTATCAAGATTCTTAGCGATAATCAACATATCAATATCTGCCAAGTAACCTGAAATAAAGATAGAAATTATAGCACCAACATGGTTTCCATATTATATTATTAGCCAAGTTGAAACAAACTTTGACAAATATGATACACATAAAAATAATATTTACACGCCAATGATAACAGGTATAATGTGCTAACCAACGTTATGGTGATGGCTATTAATACAAAAAAAAGTTGTTTAAACATTTAGAAAAATGACATGAAATATATATGTTACAGTGATGATACTAAAAATGTCAATAACACAAACATCTTGTAATTACATTTTTGCAATGATTAAAAAATAAATATTTGAATGAAATCATGAACCAGGATTGTGATACATGATGTAAGCAAATAAAGGTATCAATAGGACATGACAAATGTTCTTGTTTTTTTTAAAGCTAAATGATTTTATAAAAAAGCGACATCGGAATAACTAAAATATTCACACTTTGATATGTTTCAATAAATTGAATGTTTTGATAAACATTCAAATATACATAAATCATCCAGTATACTAGATTATATTAGAATTTAAAATGCATTACTAACCATCTTTTTCCCGTTCAATTTGATGTGATGTTTGTACTGTACTTTGTTCTCCTGATGTTACATGGCGCTGTGAGGCAAAGAGCGAGTCAGCAAGACATGCGAGTCCATGATCTTTCACAGCAAGACATGTGAGTCCATGATCTTTCAAAGCCTTGTCCATTACCTCCACTTGATTTGTCTCGTACTTCTGTATACTCCTCCATTCTATAAGCATATCCATTATTGGACAATCCGGCTGCCGGTTACAGTTCAACATCTGATTTATCCTCCTCCACTTGAGGCCCAGTCTGACCCCCAGCAGTTTCCAGTCCTCTCCCATGCCTTGTTTGATACTGTGTAGATCATTATCTGCTAGATAGACATGACCTATAATCATAGAGAATAGTAGGCCTAATACGAATACGAACATAATTATAAGATGCACAATATCGTAAAGCCCTGTCCAGACTATTAACGTTCTGTGACATGCCTAAATATGGTCATGATGAATTCACATTATGGCTATAATTATATATAGGCACATCATGAATATAATTATGATCATACAACAGTTTTTTTGTCAAAGTATATTTGATCTGGACAGAGCTCAATGTTTGAATTACCAACCTAGCTATTGCTACTTGCTAAATTCAAGAAATACATTTTGAAATATACCTATAGTATCAAGTAACATACTTCTACTACTTCAGGGTTCCTCAGTCCACTGTTGAACATACCCCTTCTCTAAACTCTTCCACCTCTTTTTGTCTGATGTTTCTTTAAACCAATATTTCCAAGATATTATTTTTTCATCATCTCTCTACCTCTGTTTCTGTCTTCCCCTTTTCTTTTACTTTCTCTGCGTATCCATTCTGTTATTTTTCTTGTTCATCTGTTATCTGTGGTTCTGATCACATCACCTGCCCATCTCCATTTCTTTTTTGCCACTTCTGACATGATATCATTCACACCTGTTCTCCGTCTTATTGCTGTACATGGTATTCTATCTAGAATCCGTATGTGTAACATGCGTCTCTCCATGTCTCGTTGTGTTTTTTTTCCCGTTATTTACTTTGTGAGGTGTCAGGTCTCTGATCCATATGTCATTCAAATGGTATCACACACTGATTGAATACCTTCCTTTTTAAACACATTGGGATTTTACGATTTTGAATAGCCTCTTTGTGTTTACCGAATGTCATCTAACACGATTTTATTCTTTCCTTTATCTTTTTTTCAGCATCCTCCATATTTGTTAGATGACCCAGATGTCATCATTTTCTAGTTTCAATACTGAAATTTGTCATGTACTTTGTCTTGCCTCTGTGTAGTGTAAGGCCTACTTTCTTGCTTTCTGTATCTAATTTGTTTAGTTATTCTTTCATTGATGATACTCAACTTGTTACCAGTGCAATATCATCCGCAAACCGGAGTTTAGTAAGTATATCCCCATCTATATTTATTCCTTCATTAACATTAACCACTCATTTTTCATATTTAGGGTTTTATTTCGTCTTAGATTTGTATAGATTGGAGTAGAAATTTGAACAGATGCCCATAATTTCTAATAATATTTCTTTTGTAATTTCTCTATTTTCATTTTTCATAGCTAAAATTCTTGTTTTGTATGTTTTAATTCTTTTATTTTTTTTTGTGTTTCGTGGGTGCATCCCACATTTATTTCAACCACCATATTTTGCACAATTTGTTTTCAAAGAGGTATGTCAATATAATTTTTCCTACCAATATAATTTTTCCACAATGTATTGCGAAGTACGCAATAAATAATCCTAAGTAACATGAGGGTGATTTAGGTATGGAGATACAACTCCACAGGTAATAAACACAGTTAATAATATTTGAGATAAACATTATTCCCTATCGGATCCGAGCACAAGACCTTCCACCTTCTGTTCGAATACGATAAGCATTTACATAATTAAAATATATAATTTAATTTCTTTTAATCCTTTTTTCCCACTTTCTAAAATCCTTTCTATCATTTCTGTTCTTTTCTTTCTTCTTTCGTACGTCTAATTTTACGTGTTTGCTTGATTACATTAGAGTATTCCCTTTTCTCTTATTCTATTTTGTTTTCCACTTTCTTTAGGTCTTTTCTCTTTCATCTATTTTTTTTAAAGTAACATACATTTTTTTTCTCTTTCGTGGGAGCAACCTACCTTTATTCTCTTTTTTTCATAGTAACTATTTTATACAACACTTAGGTTTGTATAATTGGAGTAGAAATTTACCCCATGCATGTGTAATCTAAATTACGGTGATTAATTAGCGAAGATATGGAGACAATTATTTCTAAGTCCCTCTTTCCAAGAGGGGATGCAAATGCTTTGTGAAAATGGGTACGCCGTGGTACTCATTTTCACAAAGGAATACACGCAGCCAGCTAACAATATGCAAATGTTACATGAACACCTGGAAAGGAAGGTGCAATATCACGTTCTGTTGCATAGCATACATCTGTAGGCCTACTGTAGTGTGGGGTGGGGGACGGTAAGCATAAATTGGTTAGCCAACAATATGCAAATGGTACATGAAAACCTGGAAAGGATGGATCACGTTCAGTTGCCTAGCCTACTGTGTACTGCTGTGTAGCGGGGGACGGTGAGGCTATTTATTAGTAAGCCTAGGCCTAAGTAGACAGTGCAATTATAATGTGATAGAAAGTACACTTTCGAAAGAAATAAATTAAAATAAGAAAAAAATAATTAACTAAGAATAATTCAGTTGCAGACGTACCTTGTTTAAGTATTATACAATGCGGCTCTTGTAGCCCTAGCTACGCAAGGCATCTATGTGCAAAGCAGAGAAGGCATCCATGTGTCGTGTTTTAAATTGCTCGTGACTTGCATATTTTAATCGTTCTAAATCGCAATTATATTGAGTCATTTTTACCGTATTTTAAGCTGTATTTGCTATTTGCACCCATGTGGCCTACCTCAAGTGAAGTTTCGACGCATTTTTAAAGCTTTTTTACAAGATTTAGTGGGCTTGGTTTTTTGCGCTTCAAACCTAGGCCTAGGCCTACTCGACTGACGTGTTTACCCTGGAGAAAATCAAGCTTTGTACACCAGCGAAACCAAGTATAGTACGCTGACCGTGTTGGTATCTTGTGTTTGCTTGACGGTCCTGTAGAGGCCTAGACATTCTCATTGTATTCGAAACTACGCCCAACGCTCAACCGAGATTTTAATACACCCTGATTTGTTGTGCACTGTTTTGTGAATTTTTTGCTTGCTGTTTATCTTTTTACTGTGTGGGAAATCCTCGCCGTTTTTTCCCCCCATTTAGTTGGGACGAGCCTGCATGTCGCCGCCATGTTTTTTCTTACTGACGCTGAAACCGAATGTAACCGGAAGAGATTTCCATCGAGATTGCATGCAACATCTAGGCCTACACGAAAGATTATTAAGGAAACCAAAAGTTTGTTTTCAAATCTATACTTCTTGATCCGTTTGGCTTTATGTATTATTTTGCTTTGCTCTGAAGATTCAGACGAAACTTTAGCATATCATACTGACCACCAAAGTGCGGTATGGATCTTCCCAGCCTGCAACATTATTAACTTCACAGATTCTACTTTTTTCAACTTGAGCCTGCAGTCACTTAATTTTAGTAACTCCTTTGAAACGCTGTCGCCTCTGGACAATAATGATATACAAATTCCTCCTACAACTAGACCAATTGCTTCATCCATTCCAAAGACCTCAAAAGTACCCAAAGTTTCGCCCATTAGACTACTAAAGTTGGGTAAGCTCTGGACTAAATCAACGGATAGCATAAATACAATTATTACCCAATATGTAAATCTAAATCTTCTGGCAAATGGACTATCGCCAAGAACATTAAATCAGAGGACATGAAGAATTCTCCTAAGTATCCAGTTAAGAACACAATTCAGACCATTCCATTAATAACTATGCACAAATCTAATGGCAAATGGAAAATTACACGCCAACACACTGGAAATAAAGCTAAATCTGCTGCTTATAACGACTCTATTATTTCTCAACCAACATCCCGGAGTAACTTAACATCACGTCCAGTACAGGCCAATAGACTTTTTAAACAACCTAATTTAAAAATTGCCATTATTAATTGCAGAAGCATGCGTGACAAAGGTGCTACCTTAGGAACCTTTCTAAAAGAGGAAGACACTGATATCATCATTTGTACTGAATCATGGCTAGATTCTAATATTTCTTCTTCCGAGATCTTTCCAAATCACTTAAGAGTCTTTAGGAAGGACAGGAACTGTAACGGTGGAGGTGTTGTTGTTGTAGTAAATGAAAATATACCATGTCTTGAAAGAACTGACTTATCCCGGACCGGAAAGACACTGAACGCCTTTGGTGCCAAGCTGCGTTACTTGCACAGACACTATTTATTGGTGCCCTTTACAGGCCACTCAATACTGGACACTCCCCGATAGAGAAACTTAGTGAATCACTTCAAGAGATCAACAAAGACGTTCGATCACCTTTCACCATTCTAGGCGGTGATTTCAATGTCCCTGGGCACTCCTGGGAAAATGACCCTATAATAGGAAGTGTAGGAACCTTGCAACAAACCCTCATCAACCTTACCAACGACAACCACCTCACCCAACTAGTACCTGGGCCCTACTAGACAAGACAGTAATGGTACAGCTAATACACTAGACCTCCTGATGATTACCCACCCGTCACTTGTTTTTGATGTTAGACCCAATACTGGAATATGTGACTACTGCATTGTACAGGCAAACATCATAACCAAGACCAAACTTAACAAAAGACCACCACGCAAGATTCTTCTCTGGAAAAATATTAACAGCCAAGATTTCAAAACCCATGCGGCTCTTATCCAGGAGAGCTGCTTCAACCGGAACCCGCACATTGCTTCGGTAGATGAGAATTGGTCATGGTTCAGGGACTCCATCCACAACATTGTTTCCTCGACTGTACCATATAAAATGGTCAAAGGTCACATTCGTGCCCTCTGGTTTACTACCAAGTTGAAGAAACTTTGTAGAAAGGAGAAATTTTATACCAAAGCCAGAAAGACTGGAACCAAAGCTGACTGGGAAAATTTTTATAAGAGTCGCAAAATTACGGATAGATCCATTAGGCGTTCCCATAGATGCCATGTAAACAGCATTCTAGAAACAGAAATCCCGAAAAAACTTCTGGCGATACATACGCTCAAGAAGGAAAGATAACACCGGTGTCCAGTCACTAAAAGTTGGAAACAACCTTCTTACAAATGACCAAGAAAAATCCCAGGTCCTCTCAAATCAATCTGAGGGTGCATTTACCCAAGACCATTCTAATCCAATTAAATTACCAAGTATGCCACCTAACCCATATCCAGATATGCCACCTATTACC